GTAATATTCAATACAAAAAATAAAGCAGCTAAACCGAGTTTATAGGTTTAACTAACCCTTAAGCTCAAACACAAAATAATTAAACTATACAATTTTCTAGCCTCAGATGACAATGGTGACGCTAAAACACTGTGATAGAAACCAATATCAAAGCTCTTAAAACTAAAAACCTGATTCCACTGAGACTCAATACGTCGACACTCATACAAAATGTGTTGCACATCCTCTACAACATCACATACAGCACAATTTGGTGATTCGACTTTATGCATCATAAGTAATAGTAATTTTATGTTAAACGCTTTTAAACTAGCTCTATTCTACCAATCAAGACCTTTCGTTTAATCGAAAATAGACTGCCTCGTTGGCCGAATGCTCGCAAGTGCGGCTGCCGCACAAGGGGTCTCTGATTTGATTGCCAGATCGGGCAAAGTATTACTGGGTTTAAAAAAAACATCAGTAGTAGCACGGAGTCTAGAAATGTGCCCGGTATATGGCAATAGGTTTACCACCTATTACATGGGACTCATAACATAAATAGTGAAAAGTGGGTGTTACATTGTGCAGTGTAAGTAAGACGTAAAGTCCCGTAATGTGCACCTCTGCCTTACCACTTCGGGGATAAAATATGTTATGTATGAAAGTGGTTGTGATGAAACTAAAATAGAATATGGTATTGTTATTAAAACTAAGAGTGTGGACCAAATATCAGATCGACCTGTCGTCAGGAAGGGGGAGAAATTACAATTACTATATTTTACCCAAATAGGGCAAGTTAAATACAACCGTGCAACAACCCAATTTTAACCTTTCTTTTCTTCAACAGAAAGTTTACTAATCTTGGCGGCCTTAGGGCTAGCCTTGGCCCGGCCGAACGATGAATCTGGTCCAGTGGGCCGCTATTTGGAACCTCACCCAGACTGCCCTCCAGCTGAGACCCACTTTCTCCTTCCTCACGAGTATGACTGCACCAAATTCTACTACTGTGAATATGGGCTGAAGTATATCGAACCGAGAGACTGTGCTCCAGGAACCGAATTCAATGCTCAAATTCAGGTGAGATATTTACATACTAAAGGTGCAATTCTGGTCCTATCGCCACTGCACATTCCCTATTCCCATTCCCCAATTCCCATTTCCTATTACCCATTTCCCAATTCCCAAAAATCTTCACCTCATCAACATTGAAGAATAACTCGCCACGTGCATCCAATAGCTACTTGCAACTCTGACAATGTCGGTCCAGCTTAATGACAATACCAATGCCCAATGCCCAATCCCCAGATCCAAATAAATAATAATTTAATCCGTTAAATTCCAAACAGGTTTGTGTACATCCTGCTCAATCTGGATGCCATCTTCCTGGACCTGGACCATGGCCTTCATCAAGTTCGACTACAGCGTCATCAGGTACTACAACTACACAGACGCCTTCAACTACAACTACAACAACTCCAACGACTACAACAACTCCAACAACCACAACTTCAACCACAACCACTACAACTCCAGCGCCAACAACTACAACTTCAACAACAACTACTACTACAACTCCAGCGCCAACAACTACAACTTCAACAACAACTACTACTACAACTCCAGCGCCAACAACGACAACTTCAACAACAACTACTACAACAACTCCAGCGCCAACAACGACAACTTCAACCTCAACCACTACAACTGGACAACCAATTTCATCAACAACTCAAGTATCATCATCTACAACTGGTGGTAAATACAATTTTAATCAATATAAATAGTTGGTCACGTAATTATACTGCTCTGAATTTGCGACTAAGGCCAAGGGTACACTAGGCGACAAATGTCCTTTAACACGTGTCGCCAGCGACATTGTATGAAATAGCGCGACATTGCCGGACTTTGGTCGACATCTGTCTGGCAACATCAACATCGCTGTAGACATAAATTGCGCGTTGGCAGGCGATATCGGCCGCCTTCGCTCGACATGTCCCCATACACGTCTTAAGACGTTTGTCCCTTAGTGTATCCTTTGCTTAATTCATAGCCTGCTTACCATCAAGAGACTTATATAACCTTTTTTTCTGCCTACAGCTTCGTCTAGCTCCATTTCTCCACCAGACTGTGATTTCCTGGACAATGGATGCCCAGCTGACTTTGATGTCCACTGGCTTCTCCCTCACGAGGTCTACTGCAACAAATTCTATTACTGTGACAAGGGACAGCTTGTTGAGAGGATCTGCGCTCCTGGTACCGTGTTCAGCCCTATCGTAGGCGTAAGTATATCATTTCGTAAATATTTTTGCTTGTTTATTGATCATCTTATTACCAATTTCATAATCATTCTGGATATTTGATAGAGTAATTTCTTTTTGTTCTGGAAACCGTATATAGGCCTCATCATCACATTAACAGTTTATAAGTGTCCACTATTGATCAAATGCCTCTTCTTACACGTTAAAGGCTTGAGCATTTCTTTGTGATGTTTGCCTTCATCGTTTGTCAGTAGAGTCTTAAAGAAACGTGGTTTTATTTTTCTCTATTTTCCTAATAAAAAGATGGATAACATAATACCTACATGAGATTATATTCCTTGAAATGAGATCTCAAGGAATTCCAGCATTGTAAAACAGCACTAGAGCAGCACTATTGCCCAAAAACATGAAGAATAAAAGACTCCATAGGTAACTGTCTCCATCTAAGAATGCTTTGAAACATAAAAAAGAATTACGTAAAACAATTGCACAACAATAACAAAAAAAAACGAATTAATCAACTGAGTCAATAAGGACAGCGAATAGCTAAAATTGACGTAGATATAACAAAGAAATCACGAGGAATTTTAGATAAGTATTCCACAGTAGATATCAACTATTATAATGCGGAAAATAGATTACTCATAGTAAATAATCGATAGATAAACTAATAGAAAAGATTTAATAGTTTATTAATACGATGAAGGAAATCATTACGAGGAAACGTGGACTTATGATGTCTAATTATAAAGAAGAAGTGCAGGAGTAGGAACGGGTGGTTTTCTTGTCAGTAAGAGTCTGACACTCCCTCTCGCCCCACCCAGGCGGGAGCAGTCATTCGATGATTTCGCCCTTAAAAAAGTTATGAATTAATCAGACAGTAATTTGATATTTTAAATGCGTTGTAAAAATATTCACTGAGGCGTATAAAATAGTTTCCGCGAATGCGTAATTCCGGTGTCGTAAAACATACCTTATTATTTATCAAAGTAAAAGGATTAACACTTTGAATTTTATTAGCGGATCTAGATTAGATTACGAGGCAAGGTCTCAGGTACTTCTGATTAAGACAGGGAAAGACCTGACTGAAATTCTAGTAAATAAAAACTCTATAATCTATGATATTGAAGTCGTAAAATAATTGAAGTCATAGTAACTTTTACCTTCATTGCTTTTGAAGGTTTAATTATTATTGATAATGACATTATTATTGCAGATTACGTTACTATTATTGACGTATTATAGAAATAGTAATTGATATAATAGTTATAGAAATAGATAGGATTCAGAAATAGATTTTATTTAGGCTACCTAATTGTTTTGAACCAAAATCACATCACATCTGTCAACAACCTGGAAGTAGCCACTGCTGACCAATGCCCTCTTCTCACAAGAAGAAGGAGCATTAAGCACCACCGCTGGCTCAATGTGGATCGGCGATTTCAAACTTATAATTGGGCATACAGTAACCTCACTCACACTACGAAACACAGTGCAAATGTCAGTTTTCTGTGATGCCGTGGTATCATCACACCCGGTGATATCGCTGCGATCGAGCCGACTCATTCGTACCAAAGCATTCTCCCCAAAACTTTCATTTTCAAATTACTCACTCCCTTCATTCACCACCTGGGTCTCTTCATCAGCTGACACACAAGTTTCATCACCATAAAAATTTTCCAGGTTTGCGTCCACCCATGGGATTATGACTGCGGAGACAAAGGTATCGCTGACCCACCAGCCACAGAGAACCCCCCAATCGACGATGATAACAAACCCTGCAACGGTACTGACAATGATATCGGAGAAGTTCTTGATAACGGTTGCCCAGCTGACTTTGACGTCCACCATCTTCTGCCCCACGAGACTGAATGCGATAAATTTTACTACTGCGTCCATGGCGAGAAAGTCGAACGGTCTTGCGCTCCTGGCACCCACTTCAACTACGAAATCCAGGTCAGTTTCTCCCTCAAAAACATTTTGAGGACCAAACCTTCTAGAAAGTATATGACTGTTCATATTTGCGTCACATGTTAGGCAATTATCAATGTTATTTGTTTATTTATTAAAGTCCTTATTCATTTGTTTTGCATTCACAGTTTTGTGTCCTTTTTCAAATTTTGTTTTGTTCTAATTTGTTTTTCTTTTGTTTCGTATTTTATTAAATTTTTGATTGGATTTGTAACGAATCTCTTTTAACTCACTATATAAGTATTTTAAGTATAATTTCAATGCTTGGAAAATTATTAGGCCTTATTTTTTTCCTTTTTGGAAATCATTTCTGATTAGACCGAGTTCGAGAGTCTCAGAGAAAAATCTTGCATGACCTCTATTACCATTACTATCATATTATATTGATTTAACATCTGCTGCATAGACTGCACTGTTGGCGCGGTGGCTGGGCCACCGGCGGCCGCGGGTTCGATTTCCGCACGTAACATTTTGTGTGATCCACAAATTCTTGTTCCGAGTCTCGGTATTATGTGTAAATGAACTTGTATGTTTGTAAACGGACCCACGACACAGGAGAAAATCCTAGTTTGGGGCAAAAAAAACTATATAATTTTCACCTTTTAAAAAAACAATAGCATTATTCATATGTTTATTTGTATTTACAACTTCATCCGAATTCCAAAAAAAAAAAATTACTCCCAATCAATGTTTTACAATCTTGATTTTCATTTATTGGACAGTCTACGAAGGCTTGTTTTACAGATAATATCTAGAAAATGCGGCCTTAATAGGTTATAAACTACATAATCTTTAATGCACTCCTTATAAATTCAGAAGTCGACTAATAGGATTATATTGTTTTTTATGATAAGATAACTGCCTGATTAGCCGAATGGTCGCAAGTGCGACTGCCAGGCAAGGGATCTCGGGTTCGATTCCCGGATCGCACAAAGTATTACTGGGTTTAAAAAAAATCTCAGTAGTAGCACGGAGTCTGGAATTGTGACCGGTATATGGCAATAGGCTCACCCCCTATTACATGGGACTCATAACATAAATAGTGAAAAGTGGGTGTTACTTCTGTGTGCACCTCTGCCTACCCCTTCGGGGATAAAATGCGTGATGTTATGTTATTTTATTTTGATTTTGAAAATCACATAACTCTCTTTTTTTATTGTAATAACACGATGAACGATAATGAGATCATTATCTCATAATACACAAAAATAATAATATAACATAATGGGCTAAATTCATGATAGACTAACTCACCGTCTAGCCAGTCAAAAATTAAAAAGTGCAATGTTATTTCATATAAATAAAAGTTCAATTTCTCACGAATATGGAAAATTTCTAATAATATCTGTATAATCGGATTAAATCAAATCTCAAGGTATTTAAACAAAAAGGTTTTTTACCGATTTCACTTTTGTTACCGACTTTAGCTGATAACGGGGATTAATTATTGTTTAATACCTGTCTATTAAATATCTTTTGCATTAATCACCATTTGATATTTTTTTATGATAGTCGCTGAAATAGAGACAATATGCCAAAGTCCAAACTCTATTGATAACTTCCCAATAACGGGTGTCCATGGGCGGCGCTGATCGCTTACCATCAGGTGATCCGTCTGCTCGATTGCCTCCAATACCATAAAAAAAAGTTTCTATTACATAATTATTATTTAACTAGCTAATTCTGCGCGGTTTCACACGCTCTGCTCAGCTCCTATTGGTCGTAGCGTAATGTTTTATAGCCTATACCCATCCTCGATAAACACGCTATCCAAGAAATATTCAAATCAGACTTGTAGTTACGGAGATTAGCTCGTTCAAACAAACAAACAAAAAAACAAACTCTTCCGCTTTATATAATAGTATAAGATATTACCTAAAATGAGCGAGACTCATTATATTACCTAAAATGAATCTCGAATTTGAGTCTCTTAGTACCTTCTCAACCTCATAATTAAGTTTTTCATTTCCAAAATTCTCACAGTTCAACATTATAAAATTAAATCCAATCAGGGTTTTGCAACAAGTCAAATCAAATTAAATTAAAAATCTGTCCAACAATAGCTATATAACATAACAATAAAATACGCATAATAAAACAATAACTATTACAGATAAAAAAAAATAATAAAACATACCAAAAAAACAATCAAATTTTAATATTGTTCTGATAAACAAATCGATAGATTAAAGAACTATTAGTAGGTAGGTAAAGATTTAAGAAAAGATTGCAATTATAATCATTATTCTAATAAATTCGTATGACGTAACAAAAAGCGGTAGAAGGATTAAAAACGATTATTTGATTATTTTCTAAGCGAGATCTTAAAATAAGTATGATGAAATAGGCTTGCGATTATTATGATTTATCGACTAGGATATCGATTTCATTAGTCCCCCACTCGAGTGACAATTGTTATAATTTGTAATCGAAGCATTTGTTTCAGTCATAATTAATCTAATTTATTGTAATGTCAGCAAGCAATATATAAAAAATATTTTTAATGTTAAACGATTTTAATGAACTCTATCCTACCAATCAAGCACTTTTGTTTCAAATCCATAATGGAGGTAATCTAAGAAACAATTAAATTATATTGTACTAGCGACCCTCCCCGGCTTCGCACGGGTGCAATATGCATACATTATACAGATAAACCTTCCTTAAGAATCACTCTATCTATTTAAAAAACCGAATCAAAATCCGTTGCGTAGTTTCAAAGATCTAAGCATACATAGGGACAGACAGACGGCGGATAGCGACTTTGTTTTATACTATGTATTGAAGGTCATCAAGATTAAGATTGTGTACCCTATATCAGATTGATAGGTCGTCAGGAAGGGGGTGAAATTACAATTACTAAAGACCCAAACGAACAAAGGGGGCAAGCTAAAGAAAACCATTCAAATATCATGTTTAAGAATACTACATTATTATTTCCTACTATTAAAAAAGACTGCCTCTTTGGCCAAGTGGTCGCAAGTGCGACTGCCGGGCAAGGGGTCTCGGGTTCGATTCCCGGGTCGGGCAAAGTATTACTGTGATTTTGAAAACCCCAGTAGTAGCACGAAGTCTGGAATAGTGCCCGGTATATGGCAATAGTCTCACACCCCATTACATGGGACTCGTAACATAAATAGTGAAAAGTGGGTGTTACATTGTACAGTGGCATTAAGTGCCGAAATGTGAACCTCTGACTACCCCTTCGGGGATAAAAGGCATGATGTTATGTAAAAAAAGTAGCACCAAATACGAAGATAAGGTCTACATATAATTTGATGTTATAAAGATACTAAAAATGAATTTTACGTTGAGATATGCTGAACAATCTGTGTCAAGGTAGAGATCTTATGATATTTTCGAAAAAAGCCCCCCTCGGTATGTCATTACTATTTATTATTATACAGCAGGTGTATAATAATAGAACTTATTATAATTTTTTTGTATGCAATATAACAATCCTTAGGTACTAATATATCTAATATTATAAATCGGAGAGTGAGTTTGTTTGTTTTTTCCGCTTTCACGCCGTAACTACTAAACCAATTGCTTTGAATTTTTGCAGACGTAAAGTTAGAAGTCCGGATTAAATAAGAGGGTACTTTTTATCCTGAAAAAATTGATATTTCCGAGGGAAAACAAAAGTATTGGTATAGATAGCGCTGTGTGTATTGGTATATGTCACATAGGCTACTTTTTACCCTTTTGTGACGCGAGCGAACCCGCGGGTAAAAGCTAGTAGAAGTCGAAACCAATTCATTGAAATTTAAAAATTGTTAATAGAATATTAAACCTGAATAATTGTAATGACTTGTGACTCACTCACGTAACTGTTTGACGAAAAACTCGACTAGTTTCAATAACCACATGGTTTAAAACTAGTCGAGTTTCTCGTCAAACAGTCTGCTCAGTCCCCAGGTGGTCACCGGTGACCGCTCATCACGTTCTCCATTATAGACCTTATTTCCAATATTGAGAGACAACTTTTGAACAAATTTTAGGTCCGATATATTAATGTATAGTTGTTAGAAAATAACTATCGAGTGTGAAATCTAGAGTTCGATACTCACCTCAAACACAATATATTCAATGAAAAATATTCCGTATGACAGCCATCTTTAAAAGTGGCCGATATTACAGCAACAGGCCGTCCCTAATTACATGATTTTACGCTTTAATTACGCATGCGATCACGTTTTTTTTTAACAAATTAATCTAAGAATCTTTATTATGATTCATATCTTTAAAACGATAAAAATATTTGTTTCAATTTACACGACAACGCATAATTAATAAGATCATAGGATGTGATAGAACAACAATCATGGCGAATTTGATAATATAATGATCTTGATGATAATTATTATTGTATTAAAATAATGAAATTTGTGATTAATCCTTGGTCCCCTTTCTGTTTAGATTATTATTCATTCTAAAATATAAGAGAAAAAACAGAAAAATAATTAAGGAGGATAGTCTTCATTCCTGATTTTACATAACATTTATTTATTTATTTTTATTCATTTATACATATAACATAAAAACATACCATCACGCCTTTTATCCCTGAAGAGGTAGGCAGAGGTGCACATTACGGCACTTAATGCCACTGTACAATGTAACACCCACTTTCCACTATTTATGTTATGAGTCCCATGTAATAGGGGGTGAGCCTATTGTCATATACTGAGCACAATTCCAGACTCCGTGCTACTACTGATATTTAAAAAAAAAACCTTTATACTTTGCCTAATTGACCCCGAGATACCTTGCCCGGCAGTCGCACTTGCGACCACTCGGCCAACGAGGTACATATTTGTAATTTTATTTTAAATGACTAGTATGATTCGTGTTCAATTTTAATTTACGTCATAATTATAATTATTTAGCTAAGAACTAACTGATAATCGAATTGATAGATTTTGAACCGATATTATAACACAATTATCGCATAGATCGTAATCTATATAAAACTATTTGTCTACGTGAACTATGATAAATAGTAAATTGATTAAGTTCTGGAAACATACCGAATTCCGCCTAGATATAGTGTGATAGAAATATATTAGATTCTGATAGAAGATAATACATAGACACGTCATTCTAATAGAATTACAAAAAACAAACATTATACCCGAGTGAATAGGTTGCTTATGGGACGACGTGCTCCATCGTAGACCGCATCATCGCTTATCATCAGGCGAGATAGAGGCCAAACGTTGGCCCAAAAAATATAAAAATAAACAAAAAATGGTAGTTGAGTCATCATCTCCATCATCACCAGCCATTGTTCCTCTAGCCTCTTCTAACATGGAATGAGCATTAATCACCATACTTGGTAAAATTGAGTCAATTTGTTAACATTGTAAGTTATTGTTCTCAATGAAAACTCGGATAGTCCTGGAAGTATGCCCGGTATAATAATATGGCAATAGACTTACCCCCTATTATATGGGAGTAATAGATAGTAAAAATTTGGCGTCACATTATTCATACATGTGCATCTCTGTCTACTCCCTTTGGCGATAATGCTATGATAAGATAAAGTGACTAAAAAAATAAAAGTAAACAGTCGATTGAAATTTATTTTATTCTACTCTTCGAAAACTAAAGACACTTAAATCGACATAAATGCACACACATTACTACATAGTATAAAATAAAGTCGCTATCCGCCGTCTGTCTGTCCCTATGTATGCTTAGATCTTTAAAACTACGCAACGGATTTTGATGCAGTTTCTTAACAGATAGATAGAATGATCCTTAAACTGTCAAACACCAAGCGGTCACCGGTGACCGCAACCTATTGTTCTATAATTGAGTCTATAATGACGGTACTCGACGAGTTAAGGAAGGTTTATATGCATATTGCACCGGTCTGAAGCCGGAGCGGGTCGCTAGTCCACATACAAAAATATATGTAATTCTGGTAGTTAAGTAATCAATAGCTATGAATAAAAATATATGCTAAACTGAGTTGTCAATCCTCTGAAAAAAGTGCATACCTATAGATACTTTAGCACTCATTGCTAGGCTATTAGAATTCTCTAATAGTAACATATACATATGTTTCTTAAATAGTGAATTGTAATTTTCAATAAATATTAGAAAATGCAATATCTGGACCTTTAGCCAAACGCCACTTTAGCGCTTGTCTACACAGAGAGTAGAAAACTAAATGTTTGGGGATGACACTGACAAGTGTCAAAATTTACGATAATACCATATAATTTGGTTTTCTATTCTACATGTAGACAAGCGCTAAATGGCATTTGGCTACAGCTGGTGGATGGAAAGAGATAGCTCAGATTCATCTTTGCTTGCTATTTGACAAAAACAGGCACGATTAAACTGTCAAACACAAAGCGGTCACCGGTGACCGCAACCTATTGTTCTATAATTGTGTCTATAGTGACGGTACTCGACGAGTTAAGTACTAAAACTTTTTGGATACTGGAGGCTGCTACTATATACTAGGCATTATTCCCTATAGTATGTTACAATAATAATTGGGTAATTGCCAACTAGTCAAATTCAATACTTTTTTCGACCTGTTAATATCGACAGTTTTCTATAAATTTTGTACGAGGTTGTGTATTGTGACGTCACGTTTTTTTAGCGTCAAACAGCGTACTTATTTCATTAAAAATTTACTGAAAAAATACTAAAATGAAGTTGGTCATAAAATCAATTAATGAAAGTGTGATTATTTTTTTATATTTGATTGTATTGAACAGTCGAATTATTTTATTTTTGTACTAAGTACTATTAGGGTTACTGTTACTATTATTAGGGTTTAGGAAAAATAAATAAACACCCATTATTTTTACTTTATTCCGAAACATCATATATCACTATGTTAAAAAATGTCAGTAGTATTCCAAGCTAATCGCCATCGTACTATTATCATTATTATTTTAATATTAGGTACATAATTCTTGTAACAATTTATTCACAATTTCTTTTAAAATTAATTTATTTGTAAATCATTTTTTAATTAATTGTTGTTTGTAAACAAAATGTAACATAACATAACTTAACATCACGCCTTTTATCCCCGAAGGGGTAGGCAGAGGTATACATTATATTTACCACTGTACAATGTAACACCCACTTTTCACTATTTATGAGTCCCATGTAATAGAGGGTGAGCCTATTGCCATATACCGGTCACCATTCCAGACTCCGTGCTACTACTGAGAATATTTAAAAACCCAATAATACTTTGCCCGACTCGGGAATCGAACCCGAGACCCCTTGCCCGGCAGTCGCACTTACGACCACTCGGCCAACGAGGCAGTCAAAATAAACAAAATGTAATGTTAACTAAATGAATTTGACACAAGATTTACTAACGATTTGTATCCTCCACAGGTATGTGACTGGCCTCATAATGTGAACTGTGTACCTGGTGGTGGTGGAACCAACCCTGGAAGCGGAGAAGGATCCAGCTCGGAAAGCATTGAGATCAATGACCCAAATCCCGGCTGCAATGGCAACTGTCCACCAGATGGTGGCAACGACAATGACTTTGTACCTCTCCCCAATGGATGCCCAGCGGACTTTGACATCCATCATCTGCTGCCTCATGAGAGCGACTGCAGCAAGTTCTACTACTGCGTCCATGGACAGAAAGTAGTGACCAGCTGTGCACCTGGAACTCATTTCAACCCTGTTCTTCAGGTAAGATCGATTAAATAAATTAGGTATAACGAATTTTCTAATAACAAAGTGCATTACTCAAAAATTTCTTCCTCAATCTGGAAAACTACAAACAAAAAACACTTAAAAAAAAAGCAGTCAACACTAAGTGTTACATTTTATAAAAATAAACACACATTTTATAGGATTCCTAATAATTTTATAATATCTCTAATGATTTTAATAACAAAATTATTCTTGAACACTAACCTATTACAAAAATATAAATGACAAACCCGTTGGAATCAAAAATCCTTTTAGACTTCTTCTCTTGATAATAATTTAATATTAATTAATATTCACACTCTGATATACTTGATGATCTTGGAATAATTCCATATACATAACTTAACACGAAAGTATAAGAAAATAATCTAATAACGTCATGACTACTGCAATGCCAAACAAAAACTAAACCATTAAAAAATCAAGCGCATTATTTAAAGGAATCAGAAAATAGCATAATCTATTTTATAATCTCAAATTTTGATAACAATAACATGGTAAAATAATATTATTTTGGTATTAATTACTGTGATAATATCTTTGCTAGTCAATTTACTATAGAGATCACTATCTATGATTTTCCCTTCCTGTCCAATACGCCGACTGATAGTACATTCACTTTGAAATAAATAATTGATTGATTTGATACCTATTTCATTTTCATGTATTGCTAAAATCTTAAATCAATCAAAATTCCGTGTTTTTTTATCATGATTATTAATATTATTCAATCATTTTTTGAGTTGTTATCACAGTCACGTGTGAACATTTTTGTACACAAATTTAATCGATATTGTTAATTCTAGGTCTGTGACTGGCCCCACAACGCTGGCTGTGAACAGTCCTCCAATTGCCCCGGTGGCAATAGCTGCCCTGGAGAAGGTGGCGACCAACCAGGAGATGGAGGTGACCAACCCGGAGACGGAGGCAACCAACCCGGTTGCGATGGTAACTGTCCAGGCGATGGAGGCGACCAACCAGGAGACGGAGGCGACCAACCCGGAGACGGAGGCGACCAACCAGGAGACGGAGGCGACCAACCAGGAGATGGAGGCGACCAACCAGGAGATTGCAACGACAATGACTTTGTACCTCTCCCCAATGGATGCCCAGCGGACTTTGACATCCATCATCTCTTGCCTCATGAGAGCGACTGCAGCAAGTTCTACTATTGCGTCCATGGACTGAAAGTAGAGACCAGCTGTGCACCTGGAACTCATTTCAACCCTGTTCTTCAGGTAAATACATTTGACAAATTACTATAGTAAATTATTATAATGCATAATGTAAAATGCTCATAACAAATGACATAGCATCACGCCTTTTATCCCCGAAGGGGTAGGCAGAGGTGCACATTATGCCACCGTACAATATAGCACCCACTTTTCACTATTTATGTTATGAGTCCCATGTTATAGGGGGTGAGCCTATTACCATATAATGGGCACAATTCCAATCTCTGTGCTACTACTTAGATTTTTTTAAAAAACAGTCGCACTTGCGACCACTCGGCAACGAGGCAGTGTAAAATGCTCCTTTAATACAAAATAATTACTAGGTTTGGTTCTTCTACCTTCGTTTATGAAGGTAACAATGTCAGAAAGTCAGACTTTACTGACGTGTATTCAATTACTCATATAATATTCATTCACCAGTAGTTACGTGGCATTGTCTAAACTATTTCCACAACAAAGTGTCTAAGACCTGTCCATACTTGTTCATTGCTCTGGAACATGACCTGCATACGTAATTAAATTGTTTTTTTTATTCCAGGTCTGCGACTGGCCACACAACGCTGGATGCGAACAGTCCTCCAATTGCCCCGGTGGCAACACCTGCCCCGGAGATGGAGGCGACCAACCCGGAGATGGAGGCGACCAACCCGGAGATGGAGGCGACCAACCCGGTTGCGGTGGTAGCTGTCCAGGAGATGGAGGTGATCAACCAGGAGATGGAGGCGATCAACCAGGAGATGGAGGCGACCAACCAGGTGGCAACGACAATGACTTTGTACCTCTCCCCAATGGATGCCCAGCGGACTTTGACATCCATCATCTCTTACCCCATGAGAGCGACTGCAGCAAGTTCTACTACTGCGTCCATGGACAGAAAGTAGAGACCAGCTGTGCACCTGGAACTCATTTCAACCCTGTTCTTCAGGTAAATACATTTGACAAATTACTATAATGCATAATGTAAAATGCTCCTATAATGCAGACTAATCGCTACGGTTAGTTAGCCTTCGTTTTTAGAGCAAGCAATGCCAGCAATGCCAGCAATTCTGACTTAACTGAGATGTATTCATAGCAAGCTCATTCATAATTGGATATGCGATAGTATAAAGATTGTCTGGCCTATTGCGAACCAAAAATTCTTAAGAGTTGTACTTGTTCATATCTGATTGTCTGGGACATAATCTACAAACGTGACTAAATTGTCTTTTTTAATTATAGGTCTGCGACTGGCCCCACAACGCTGGCTGTGAACAGTCCTCCAATTGCCCCGGCGGCAACACCTGCCCCGGAGATGGAGGCGACCAACCAGGAGATGGAGGCGACCAACCCGGAGATGGAGGCGACCAACCCGGTTGCGGTGGTAGCTGTCCAGGAGATGGAGGCGACCAACCAGGAGATGGAGGCGACCAACCCGGAGACGGAGGCAACCAACCCGGTTGCGATGGTAACTGTCCAGGAGATGGAGGCAATGACAATGACTTTGTACCTCTCCCCAATGGATGCCCAGCGGACTTTGACATCCATCATCTCTTGCCCCATGAGAGCGACTGCAGCAAGTTCTACTACTGCGTACATGGACAGAAAGTAGAGACCAGCTGTGCACCTGGAACTCATTTCAACCCTGTTCTTCAGGTAAATACATAAGATGTTATGATGTTTTTAATTTAACTTTCATAGCAACCAAAACAGTTCAGTTCGCCAGTTATTAGTCTTATAGTAAGAACAAGGCCCATTTTAAATATTTCTAGGCTTTCCTAGTTATAAATTTAAATATTGACAGGCGCAGCAATCTTAACATTTCAATTAACCCAGGCACTTAAGTAGTTATATGAGAAACGAACATATTATCCCTTTCCTAACACACTTTTGGAAACGTTACTTAATTCTATTTTTCTACTTCTAGGTTTGTGACTGGCCCCACAACGCTGGATGTGAGCAGTCCTCCAATTGCCCCGGTGACAATAACTGCCCAGGAGAAGGAGGAGACCAACCAGGAGATGGAGGCGACCAACCAGGAGATGGAGGCGACCAACCAGGAGATGGAGGCAACCAACCCGGCTGCGATGGTAGCTGTCCAGGAGATGGAGGCGACCAACCAGGAGATGGAGGTGACCAACCCGGAGATGGAGGCGACCAACCAGGAGATGGAGGTGACCAACCCGGAGATGGAGGCGACCAACCAGGAGATGGAGGCGACCAACCCGGAGATGGAGGCAACCAACCCGGCTGCGATGGTAGCTGTCCAGGAGATGGAGGTGAAAACCCCGGTGGTGATCAACCAGGCGAAAACAACCCATGCGTAAACGAGTGCAATGTTGCCCCTTGGGCCTCAGACGACTGCGACAAGTATTGGATCTGTGTAGGTGACAAGAAAGTTCAAGTGACCTGCTCTGAAGGTCTTCATTTCAACCCAGTTACATTGACCTGTGACTTCCATTGCAATTCAGGTTGTGAGAGGAGAAATATAGAACTCACTGAACACTACGATGGAGTCAAAGTCTTCCTTCCTTGGAGCAAACTCAGCGGCGAAATGAAACGTATCTTAACCATGGACGAGTTGTAAACGGTTCAATGCTTGTAAATAGATTGTAAAATAAAAAATGCATATTGTAAATTATGCGTTACAAATATTTATTCCTTATAAAATAGATTCTCTTTGATTGAAATTGTCACTGTTATATCTGAGATATTAAAATTGTTTATATTTGTTCCTGTTTAAATTCATGAATGTAGAATATTTATAAATGAATCTTAAATGTCTCTTTTAAATTGTTTAATCAATGTTGCAAGAAGATATTTGAGGTAAATGTAAATTTATTTTACTTATAAGTAGTTTATGAATCATAAATTCATGATTGTGATCAGGAAACAAACGAAAAAAATTGTAAACCTAAAATTAATAAAAGAAAGGAATGTAAATAAAACGTATTTATTTCATAAAATAATATTTTATTTTGTAAATGAATCATAAATTTTGTAAAATAAATTTATTATAAAATTGACAATTTCACTCGTTTCTAGCGTAATGTCTTATGTTAAGTTTATCCTAGTCTAAAATTAAATAAGGCACAATTAAATTAAATTATTTTTTAATATACATTTTCTTTTTATTAGGCTTCCCTAACTCGTTGTACAAAGTTTCATGTTTAATTGACAAAGTTTATCATTTGAGTTATACTCAACCACATTAGGTAGATAAATGACATTAGCATCAAAAAAGACCTGTCGTATGTAAAGTCCATTTCACGAAAGAAGTCCCGCAGACGCAGCGCTGTATTCGCGCGACATAATGTTGCCACGGTTAAATTTATATAGTATGGGGAAATCAGGAGAAATTGACATTAGTTTGATTTACTACGTACTCGAACAGTTCGGGGAATATTTTAAAAATAATGTCTTTTTATATAGGTATTTATGTTTATACTGCTAAGGTCAGATTAGTGAAAAATTAATCTTCCTGTAATTTCTAAAACCAACATCAAATTAGAAACATAAAATAACATTTAAAAAGTTTTATTAAAGTTTTATTGAATAATTATGATCGGTCATACTATGATCACTGTCAGAAGAGTGAATAGAAACAGAATTAGATTCTGTTTCATTATCACTAGCCGTAGATATAATAAATCGATGCATTTCTTCATCCACAAGACCATCGTTTTTTAAATATTCTTCCTCCAGATGCTGTACATGTTTGCATTGAACTGCCCAATCTTCCGCTGTAACAGTCTCGAACGCCTCTTCTGTTAGGCGTACAATTTCTTTTGGATCTTGGCCCACGTTTTTAACCGCTACCCGTCTGTTTATAACACACGACTCTCCGACACACCTGCAATAAAATGAACAATTAAAAAAAATCTAACAGTGACTTTTTCCGCATTTAATTATATTATTGTTGAATACAATTTTACTAATTTTTGTTGTGTTATGTTAATTCCTCATTAAAAAAACTTAAGTCTAATTGGTAAAAAATATGTTTAATATGGCAGCCCCAAAATTTACCTGTTATGGCGGCAACTCTTTTGCGAACATTGTCTAATGGTATTAAAACGCCGCGATTCTTCTGTTCCGCTTCACAGAACTCTTTCAATTTGAATATCATTTCTCGACCTGCACTTTTTACAACTTTTGGCATCGTAAATAAACCTTATAATGCACTAATTTAATAATAAACTCACAAAATATCTACCACATCAAACCCACCTTGACAACATCGACAAACGACAACATGGCTGAACTCCCCATTTGTCAAATTTAGTTCCACAATTGTCCGCGGGACTTCTTTCGTGAAATGGACTCTAACATGCCTACACTGGTTTAAAAATTTTTGACATTAAATAAAACAATAATACTTCCCTCTATAACAGTTCTTACATTACTTTGACAAACAAGAAGTATTTAATGAAAGAATAAAATCTATACTAATATGCTAAAGCTGAACAGTTTGTTTTTTTTTGTTTGTTTGTTTGAATGCGCGAAGCTCCAAAACTACTGGTCCGATTTGAAAAATTCTTTCTGTGTTGAATAGCTCATTTATCGAGGAAGGCTTGGGCTATAAAATATTACGCTACGATTAATAGGCGCCGAGCAGAGCGAGTGAAACCGCGCGGAAGTAGCTAGTCATCAATACATAGTATAAAACAAAGTCGCTTTCGCTGTATGTCCGTATGTATGCTTAGATCTTTAAAACTACGCAACGGATTTTGATGCGGTTTTTTTTAATAGATAGAGTGATTCTTAAGGAAGGTTTGAATGTATAATACATGCATATTGCACCCGTGCGAAGCCGGGGCGGGTCGCTAGTATTATACAAATCAATCAAAGACGTTCAAAAAGGGCGAACGTAATGACTGTTACAAATGAATGAAGCACCAAAATGTCAGTGGCGTATTTATATGTGCGTGTATTTACAACACCGTAATCTATAAAGTGTAATGACAGGCTACGCGACAGATGTCCTTCGGGTCAATGTGTGTGTATTCTGCGTGTAAGTCTATAGTAACCAGTGCCTGTAGCCAAACGCCGCTTTAGCGCTTGTCTACAGAGAGAGTAGAAAACTAAATGTATGGGGATGACACTGACAAGTGTCAAAATTTACGTCAATTCCATATTATTTGGTTTTCTATTCTACATGTAGACAAGCGCCAATGGCATTTGGCTTCAGCTGCTGGTGCCACAGTCGTTGTTTCGTGTGAAATAATATATCCGCCTTTTTTTCATATCTTGATACAAATATTATTATTATTTCTATATTGGACAATGATATAATCAAAACTATCGGCTTAGGTATGTAGTTAACTAAAAGTAAACAATCTTGACACAACTTTGTTTGAACAATGTTTTGAAAAAAGTTGAGTAATTTGAACAGTAGCTTTAATGAACTACCAGGGGGCTTACTCTTAAATCTAATTCTGATCGATCGACATTGGTATTATGAAATTTCGTACTCTTTGTAAGTTGCAACACTAGCGCTCATTGCACCCGTATTGCGTGGATATTGAATGAACTAAATGGTATTGAGTTTGCCTTTATATTCCGTACTCTGAATGCTATTTTAATAGCTACGATTGTGGTTGTATAGTATTGACATTGAATATTTATTAAGATTTTATTGGATTTTATTGG